GGTACACACTGAGCGGGCTTTGAAGTTGAGTGAGTGGGGAAAAAGCCCACATGAGTGTGACGTAAGGTCATTGTCAGCCTAGCCCAAATGCTACTGTGGGCTGTGTGAATTTCTATCACACTGAGGTGGCTTTCTTGTTTCGAAATCTGGTATCGTATTTGTTACTTCTAATTATAATTTCATCACATGAAAATTGTGTGAATTATACAAACGCCACTTCAGTCCTAAAAAGAAATTTGCTATTTTTTATGGTAAATAACACATGTATCTTTTACAAGAAATAATTTAAATTAGAGTAATTTGATTTGGTTCGTTTTAATTTTTTCCAAATAATTCACTGTTACAACGACTTTGGAACTATTACAGATGAAAGTAGTTATTTATTTATTTATTTAAATTTTATGAACTTATTTTTGTTGATATCTCATAAACTTACTTTATTCACCATATTTATAATAATTTTAGTCCAACAGGATTAAAATAGAGATGAACATTAGAGAACAACATAATCAGTTTTCGCCACTATTGATCTTTATTGTTGTATTAAATTTTAATAAATTTATTTAGTTATATTTATAATGTTAATATTCAATAAATTTAATTATTTGATGTTAGTTTCTGAGTTTTGATATTTGATAAGTGAAAATCGAAAAAAAAAATTATTTATAGGCCAGAACGGCCCATTCTGGTTCTACTTTTTATGTACTAATGTTGAATCCGGAACGACCCATTCTGATCCATTTGTCATGTGTTATTTTTTAAACTAGAACGGCCCGTTCTGAACATGAATAGTAAATGATGCTAGTTGCGGAAATAAATTTGCACAGTTGCTATTTAGATAATTTTTTTTAAAAATAGTATTATTTGAGTAAAAAAATCCAATTAATTGAGCGTCATAATTTAAATGACTTCAAGTACATTTTTTATTTATAATTTTATGTTACATATATTATTGAAACATGAGACACATGACCTACATTAAAATGCTTTTATAAGAATAAATTGTGAGACATCATTTGAAAAATAATTTAGGTAATTAATTATCGAGATTCTATTCATATGTGGAAGTGAATAAATATGTGTGAGACATCATTGAAATATGATGTAGGAAACTATTTTTGAGATTCTCTTCATAGTGGGAAGAATTAATTATCAATATTAATTCTCATGAATGAGATGAGATTTATCCAATAACAAATATAAATTAGTGTGCATCAATTTATGTGGTGATAAGCATTTTTGCTTTATGTTTTTGGAGATTATATATTTTATTTGTTTTTGAGATAATATGTTGATCTATATGACATTATATGAGAGATATAACTAGTGATAATTGAGTGTCATTTAAGTATCCTAATTAAATGCATTATCATATAATAAATGTTAATACCTTTTGTATTGATAGTGTGAATGTTTTGAGTTTAATTCTTAAAAGTTATAGTCATTTACGACACGAGTTAGTGAAGATAATGTAAATTGTCAATTATGAGTAATATGATACCATCCATATCACAATATTTTACATAATATGAGATGTTATAAAAAAAAAGTTATAAATTATGGTATTTAACATTGTGGATCTTCCATTGAATTAAAAATACAATGATGATTAATTGAGTCTTGGATCCATAAGAGACAAAATTCACTAATGTTGTGTCATTACACTTTGTTGTAGTGAAATTAATTTGAGATTAAACAATAATAATTATTGAATTAGAGGTTTTTACTCTAGAGATGGTTGATTATGGGGCTTAATATAACCTCTTAACAAATATTTTGTCAAGGATATAAAATTAAGAAATTATGTTATATAACATTTGCTTAAAAAGATTATTATATGTAGTCAATAATGGATTTGTCCGATCCTTTGACTTTAAACCCCTACGGAATACATATTATTTACAAAACATTGTGAGCTATTTATAAACATTGAGGGGAATGAGATTTTATTAAAGTCATTTGAAATAAACAGTGATGGTAACCTAATTTTTGTGATTGGAGATCTCATTAAGAAGGTTCAATGGGAAAAATAAGTTATTTGTTAGTTCTTTTAGCACTAAATTGGTATTAATCAATTTTAATTTTTTTATCTCTTACTATGGTGTGAGAAAGTGCTAAAGCTGCATTAATGAGAGGATAATTTTTATAATTGAGTTTTATATGATTATGAGAAAACTTAACCTCTTATAAAGATTTTAATGATTTTCATATCTCTTATAGGTGGTGTATGATTTGTAGCATACACTTGATGAAATCACCTATATCTACATGAGTATTAAGTGGACCCGCTTGCATGGGATCTTGGCAAGATCTTTAAAAAACTCATGAATATCTGTGCATGGCCTAAAAGAGCAACACAATGATAACAACAAGGATTTGTGGGGGTGTATTGTGATTGGTTAATCTCTGATACACGCCAAGTGTTTTGAGTTTAATAGCTTGCTATATTTACTACATTATGTGTTAAGTTTTATCAATTTAGGTTTGGTTCAATAGCTTGCTACATTAGATCTGATGCATCAAATCCTATATGAGAACTAGTAATATTTTTCTAAACATTTTGAAATATGTGGGAGATTGTTATATATTTTAAGATTTTTCAAAAAGTTAATTTATTCATAAAATTATTTTGAATTTAAATTTAAATTCAAAATAATTACTTTATTAATTACTAATATTAAAGCTTAACTAATATCGATTTTAATGAGATATAATAACCTAACTGTTATAGTTTTAATTAATTTTAATGATCAAATATTTTAAAATTAATTAGTTTTAATCATCGTAATTAATTATAACCACAATACTCAATATCATCTTCTATAAATATTGAGAATCAGTAAGAGTAAATTTGTTAGTTCTACATGGGTAACTTGCATGAGAGTCTACAAATAAGTCATTTAGGACAGTACATTGCACACCTCAAGAGTTCAAATCCGTTCATGCATTCAACATCCATGAACAACAAAACAAAAGATGAATTACAAATCTTATGCCTCACAGTATTTGAAGTTAGAATTTGATCATTTTGTGAATACATATAGTAGAGGCCATTCACCAATCTAGCCAAACCAATCATTCATAGGATGAATCCTAAATGCAGCAAAACGTGTTAATGAAAGGAGAGAAACTTAAGAGAATCAATATAATAAAATTGTTTAGTTCAATGAAAGGAAAGAAAATAAATTATAATATAAGTTAAATTCCTATTATACTCTCATATAAAAGACAAACATGTTAGTAAAAAAAAAATTAATAAAAGACCTACATGATGTTTATGTCATGTATTTAATCGATAACGAATGAATAATTTTTTTTTTAAATAAATAAAAGGAAGACATATTTGATTATGTCTCCCATTTAATTGATTATTTTTGCTAAAAATTTAAGCTTGATGAGCTATTAAAGAAATCTAATCGATTAAGAATGAATAAAATGAGAGTTCTCAAACTTAAATCGATTGAATTTTGCTCAACACAATCGTATAACAAAAGTTGATTAGGAAATAAAATAAAAAATACAACTAAGGATGTGATATTAAATAGGTGAAATAAATGATTATTTTTGGAACTCACTTTGTAACAAGTTTTTCCTTTTCCATTTGAGAGTGTTTTTAAAATCGAATTTGTCATTTGTACTAGATAGGTCTTAGATCCTCTCGCTGAATATATGTTGACTATAAATTCAGCTACACAAGGCTGATATATTGGTTAAATATAAGTTCAAATATTAGTCAAACTAATCGATAGAGATCACTCCTAATCCAAATAGTCCTCGATTGACCAAGGACTATAACTTCATGATTAAGTTTAACCAATGGTAAAGTCTGACCATTACATGACAATAAAAAGTTTTGAATGTATTTAAATATTTTATCAATTAACAATAACATTTCTTCTCCTATATATATACACATAGCTACGTTTCACCTTCAGAAAGTAGACTTATTCTTGAGATTATATTCATACACTCTTATTACTCGCTAACTTTAGCATTAAAGTTCCTGTTGAAGGTACAACAACCAATTCAAGGATTGAAGACCAAAGATCGAAGACTTTGTAGAGAATGAGTACTTTTGATAAAAAGTACATTTAAATTGACTTAGGCACAAACCAAGGTTCGATAATTTAATCATTACTAAATAATGGTTAAATTGGAATTAATAAATTAATAATACTATTTTAAATAATACATAAAATAATATTAAATAAATATAATATCATAATTTAAACACACTAAAAATTAAAACAAAACATCATTTTATTTTATGAGTTTTTAACATTCAAAGTACCCATAAAATTTCAAACTAAATATAACATAATACTAGATTTTAAATTTTAGTAAAATATAACAATGTTTATCAATAATAACAAGTTTATATCTAGAATAATTTTTAATAAATATATAGAATTATAAAAAAATAAGATATAAAAATTATAAATTAATATAAATAATTAAATTATATTTTATAAAAATATATTAAAAGTAACTTATTCAATAATTTATTCTAATTTATAATCCTTATTAAATATATGTTTTCATTTTTCTTAATGATATTTTAAATTAATTTATAAAAATTGAAATGATATTTTTATTTTGTATTGTATCAGTTCTAACCAAATTTTTATACAAATTTTTATTCAATTTTAAATTGATCTAACCGATTCTTAACCATTCTAAAATGCTTCAATTTTTATTAATTAATTACCAGACCTGTTACCTGGACAATTCTAGCAATATCATCTAAAACATTTTCGAAAACAATGCTATTTCATCTCTCATATGTGAAAGGAAGAAAAAAAAATTAGTGGGCCCCACTTATTTTATCTTTTACCAATCACAATACATTTTGAATTCTACACTATATCTTTCTATTAATCTCAACTTTTCACCATAACAGCTCTATAAAACACAACATTAATGATGGTCACAAAAGTCAGAAAGAGACGCCACGTGGTTAATGAAGAAAGTGACGATTCTCTTTAAAAACGAAGCTGCTATTTTATTCACATTACCCAATAATAACATGTTAGAATACACATATATTGCTCAATTTTTATTTCATATATATTTTTTCTACTTAGGTGTTTTCCCTTTTGTTGTTTAAACGGAAAACGTGTCCCTCTAGTTTCTTTAATCTCATAGTGGTACGGAGTTCTTCATGTTGAGATTGAGTCCAATGTCAAGCCCATTATAAGCCAGCGGAGCATACATCCATAGGTCATCAGAGCTCAAAAGCTACACAAAATAAAATAAAAATAAAAATGTTACAATTTGATTGCATATATGCTAATGTCTCTAAACTTAAGAAAACAATTATTTTCAAACAAGTAATACACTCTTTAACATTTTTTTTAATATCAACTAAAATTTATTAAAAATATCAAATTTCATAAATCTCTATTTTGTTTAACCGGTCTCCTTATTTGATGATTAAGTTTACTAAAATTTATGATTTTCGATTAATATACTATAAAAAAAATATATATCAGCAAGGAAGTGTAAGAGAGAGCGTTCCTACAATTTTTTTCAATTATACACAATCCGTATGCATACCTTGATCTGGAGCTGTAAAAATTTCACGTAATTGACTGCCTCTTCAAGCATTGTACTTATATCAACCTACATTATATTCGACCATAAATAAAATTAATACATAACTCCATTGAATTTGGCTTATGTTATGCCCCACCACTGATCTCAATGTTAGAAACAAGAATTACAACATTAATTTTGCCTACCTTGGTTCCGTTTGGGACAAGATTTTGTAGGATTCTTAGTCGCTCATTTATTCTCTCTCTTCTTTTCTGCAATATTCAAGAAGAGTGTAACACATAAGTACCACACACAAATCACATAAGGAAAAAAAGAAGAAAAAAAAAGGTTTTGTATTTGAAGTGATTAATTATATTATGTACCCTTGCATAGAGACTCTGTGGATCTGTTGCTGACCCCCTACTTGCTCTTGTCTTCCCATTTGAGTTGAGAAGAGATTTAGAGCCTGAAGTGGCTCCTCCACTATTCTCCTTATTATCATCTTCTGACATGTTACTACTTGAGCTATGTCCATCTGATCCTGCATTAGTCTCTTCTGCATCATCATTGCTTCCTTGTTTCTGATTCTTCTTGGACCATGTATTTTTCATGCATCCTTGCCCCTGATCATGGAACACAATAAAACTGTTAACAAATTTCAGACTTCAATGTACAGTAACTAAAATTATATAAATACCATTTTTTTAATCATGTTACTAGTATACACCGATTTTATCATTTTCAATAATAAATATTTGTTAAGAAATCTGACTAGTTGATCACTATTAACGAGTTCCTTTTTCACTCACTTGTCAACTCAATTTTATTTAACAGATTCAACTTTGGTTGCAGCAATAACTTACTGATTATATAAATATCATTTTAATCCTTCATATTATGTTGTTGCAATTTTAGGTCTAAAAGAGATTTCAATATCAATAAAAAAATGACTTTAATTTTTATGTATAATCAATTAATTATGAGATTGCGACTTTATGTCCTAGACAAAAATGGAATATAATCAATAATCATTGAGAAAAAACGAATACAAGTGTTGAATTACTTGGTCAGACGACAAGTATTTACAAGTGCTTTTAACTTTTAGAAGCCAATTACTTAGAGAAATTATAGACAAAACTTACATCTTTTGAGACACGAGCCTTTTTCTTGTGATTCTCGGATCTGTTGTTGATTTTATCTTCATCAGGCAGATCAAGCTTCCTTTTGAGCTGCAGCTGCTTGGTGGGAAAAACAATAGGTTCCATATGATTGCATTCAGAATTCTCCAATATGTCACTCCCAATATCTTTGACACTCTCTTCGGTTACAATGTCAGCAAGTGATGGCACAAAAGAGGCAAAAATTTTCTCATCCATGGAATATTCACATGCATTATTTGCTAGCACATGATCAGGGTAACTAAAATAATAGTTTGCACTACCCGGATTGGCAATGAAGACAGTGTCACCACTACAATTACTACTATAGCTACTTTCTTGTGAAATATACTGGGAATTTGAGTTGTGATTGTGAGCATCTAAAGAATAAAACATACGCTCAATATTTTCAGCACCAGCACAAAATGTTGGTTGTGTCAAAATGTTCAATTCATCATCACCATGAAGCAGAAGTGGAATCTGGGGTGTGAAATCATGCTCCTCACTGCCAAACATTCTGCGGAAGCAATCCCATTCTCCATCAGGGAAGGCTCCAACAGGTTCCATTCTATTGTGTGTGCGTTTAGGAAAAAAGAAAAGGCCAAAAGCCAAAAAGGGTTATTAAAACAAAGAGAAGCTAATTAAATGCTTGCTTGGCATAAGCAAAAGCTATGGACATATTTATACTCAATCCCAAGAAAAGTGTTGGTGTAAGCATTGACTTGGTTTGTAAATAGCATTTTAAAATGGTAATGATTGTGTCATGGATAGGTCCGAGTTCTCTGTAACTGAACTCAGGAGTCCACTGAGGGCAAAGGACAACTCATATGGGACCAAGTTCATGAGTGATAATTTAGAATAATGTTGATTTTTCAATGGGTTTTAAACAAGTTAGACTCGATAAAATTGTGCTCTAAAGGGTCTAAGTGTAATGATTGAGAGGGGATTAATGAGTGTTAATTAATGGTGATAGTGATGTATAGTTAGGAGTTAGAACTTGGGAGCTTAGCATGCGCGTTGGTGAGGTTGAAGAACGAACGTGGGAGTCTTCAATGTGAATATAATAAAGGAAAAGGAATTGTGTGAGGGAATTAAAAAAATGAAGGTCAGCGGCCACATCGTGGGATGAATCTCACATTCTTTTAAACTACTTTATGGACAGACAGAGCAACCGTGGAGAACGCTTTGTGTCTCCTTGGTGTTCCAAGCTCACCATTGCTTCAACTTATGTATGCATAATGCATTGTATTCTCTCATCAACAAACTCATCACCTACCACACACACACACATGTAGATCAACTGTTAAAAGGGTTGTTTCGGTTTAATCAATGATTACATGTTCAAGTGATCTTGAGTATTTAACCGTATTAAATATTCTGAGAGAGAAGATGTCTATAACAGTTTTAATCAACTTAAATAAGATTGTTTCGGGTAAAAAATATCTATGATCTATACAAAAAATAAAAAAGGAACAAACTCAATACTAATGTGTTTGTATAAGTTTTTCCATAAGTTCTTAGAACATCTTTGATAGTTTTCAAATAAACAACTCATTTTATCTGATTCTATATACGTCACTTCAATTTTAAGGAATTCACTTTAATTCTTATTTTAGTAAAAATTCTTGCCACAAAGTTATTTAACTCACGAATATCATTTTTTTCTCCTTAATATCTCATTCTCTCTTTTGCATGCATATGCACAAATATTAATTAAATAACTCACAAAGAATGGTTGTTTATATAAACAACTCTATTTAATTTTAAGTAACTCAAAATTGCATGTGCTATGCACTAAAGTAGTTTCTTTTTATAAGTACATGTTTGAGAATTTTATCAAAATAGACTCTTAGATAAATCAAATGAAAAGTCTTACGTAGAGATTAATCTCTAATAATGTTATGGACTAAATTTTAAATCCAAATTAAAATGATCACATTATTCTTTTGTTTGGAGATAAAATGGAAAAGAAGGAAATAAGAAGAATAAAGATTAAGAGTTTATTTGGATACAATCTAAAAGAAGATTTGAGAGATTTTTCACTAAAAATAAATAATATTTTTTGGTAGAAATTTTTTTAAAAGCACTTCTAAACCTATATCTAAACCATACTCAAAATAGATTTATTAAATTTCTATATTGTTTGTTTGAAAAGAAGAAATAAGAAGACAAAAAAAAAGTTATGTACGTGGGATCCATTTGAAAGCATTCCCCAAAATTGTAATAAATAGGAAGAAAAATATCTTCCTCCCTTTTTTTTTCTTCATATTTTTAGGTTTAAATTTTTAACAAAATTAAAATAATAGATAATTTTGTCAAGAAAAATAATTATATTGAAAATTTATATTTTTAACTATTATAAAAATATATTTTTTTACATAATTTAGTTATTTCTTTTTTATTCTTTTTCACACATCCAAACAAGCAAAAATAAATTTTCCTACTTTCTTTTATCCTATCTATCCAAATAACATATATTTCTCATTCTAGGTCCCTTTATGTCTATTATTATTTTTTCTTTCCTATGTGTTTCACTCCTAATCTAAATAAATCATTGGTGTTTAATTGTCTCAAACAATATTACTCCTGTTAAAAGAAAAAATAAACTTCAATGTAATTTTTAAGTTTTTTTTATTTATTAATCTCTAATTAGATTGTGGAGTTCACCGTAATAACTTGTGTCGATATTTAATACAAATTATCAAACTAAAATTATAATTCTATTATATAATAATACAATATCTAAGTTTTGTCTAGGAATATCACGATGATAGGATTAATGTACAATCCTTTCAATGATTTCCCTTTCCCGTATCTTATTTATTATATAATGGCTTGCAAATCAATTTTGTTTAACCTTGTTGGAGACTTTATGCTGTAATATCTCACGGATCATGTCGTACAGGCTGTAGGGCACTTGCGTATCTACATTTCGCATAATGCTTAAGTTTTATTCTAGGAAGCATGATTATAATTTGTGCACCTCATATGCAACTCATTTTCATCCACAAATAATAGTTTGACTAGATTATGATTAGATATTGGTATTAGTTTTAAATTAACTTGAAGTATGCTTTTAAAAAAAAAACAACACGTATTTTTCCTTTACGATTTACAAAGGTAATTCCCCCTATATATGAATAACATCATCTTCATCTTTTCCTATCAAAATCATCCAAAGGACCTATAAATGCATCTAGCAGGAGAGAATATGAATGACTTCATCCTTTCTTCCCCGTCTTTCACCTATTGACTTATGCTCTCACCAACTTAAAGCATCCAAATGACTGTAACGACATGTTTGGGAAAACTTTTTTCTCTTGAAAGAAAGGGATGTTTCAAAAGAAAAAAAAAACTGATTATTTGGGAAAATAACTTAAATTTGTAAGCAGTTTTTTTAATATAAAAATAAGTTTTTTTTTTTATATGAAAATTTGAAGTTTATGATCATTTTTCAACAACTTTGTTTTCTCCTATACAACTGATTTACTATATACAAGTTGACTTTTTGTTGCATTTAGACAAAATTAAGCATATCAAAATCATTTTTCGGCAAATTTATCCAAACAAAAATCCATTCAAATTATAATTGATTATACATATAATCTCGTAGCTAACTTAGATTTCATTTCAAAGGCCTAGACGTGGAACTCATGAAGAGAACATGATTATCCTTAATTCTTTGGCTAGTAAGGAACACTTACATATGTATATATATGGAAATAAGTTACTATCCTTTGAATAACATAAGTTATTACCATTGTCTCTATATATTAGACTATTTTCATGTTTTTACTTGTTTCTTTTTATGAGACCTTATTCTAATGGTTAGTTGTATTAATTATATTTTTTCTAAAATGCCTTTTGTATCAAATAGGTCCTAGGTTATCATGATGGGAACTCACTCTTCTCAGCCTTACATCAAATTTTATAACACTCATCTAAGCAAAATAAAAATTCGATAGGCTAAGGAGTTCTCAGCCTTAAAGGACACGTTTCTGTGTGATAAAGCTTTGAAGAAAGTAACATCCGAGTGTTACATAACAATAAAAGACCTTGAATGCACTTAAATGACTTGATCTTTAATGGTAATATTTTATTGAATGCACTTAAATGACTGAACCTTTAATGGTAACATTTTCTCTCACACACACACGCACACATATGTGTGTGTGTGTGTGTGCGTGCGTGCGTGCGCGTGTGTGTGTGCGTGTGTGTGTGTGTGTACGTGCGTGCGTACGTGTGTGTGTGTGTGCGCGCTTGCATTTCACCTTAAGAAGGTACACTTTTACTCTTAAAAAAATACACCTAAATACTTTGAACACTCGCTAACTTAGACATCAAAGTACTTTTTGCATGTACAACCATTGTTTGCAATCTTGAAGACTGGGGACCAAGGACTAAGGACTTTGAATTGAAGACTTTGGATGGATACTTCTCAGCAAGTGCATTTGGCATCCACCATGGGGCCATAGAAAACTTATTCCTATGGACTCTACTAATTAGAACACAGATGGTTGGAGTAGGAGGATCACCCATTAAGAATCTCGAAGTAGTAGATAATATCCATATATTGACCAACTTGTAGAGGGAGTTGCACCAATGGTGCAAACAGAGTAAGCAACAACATAAGCGATATGAGGAGGAGATAGGCCTCCTCAAGTAGTAGGATTCTGAACTACAATAGTTGATCGAGCAATCATAGACAATCACCAAAATTATTACTCCTAGCATCAACCCCACTTGGCAACCAAGCTCATTTGACTTTTTAGGTAATTCCATTTTCCCTTTCGAAATATTGGTAATTGAGGTACTTCAATCAATTAGGACATTGTCACAAACATCCGTATTAGCTGAACACTTCAATACCTCACTTTGCTGCTATACAAGAAGAGTTCCACAAGCACCCCTTTTATTGATGAGATCATGGAGATCCCTCTTCCAAGGGGATGGAAGAATTTGGGATTGAATAAGTATGATAGGACCTCTGATCCTAATGATTATGTTAACCTATATGTCTTTCAAGTTAGCATGCTCACAAGTATTGGCACAATCATGAGCGGACTATTTTGTACCTCTTTGAAAGGAGTTGCTCTAAAGTGACTCACTCATCTTCCATCCCATTTGGTCAACTTCTTCCGAGTACTAGTCTCTGAGTTTACTACATAGTTTGGTACTAGTCGATCTCATGCTATGACCTCAACTGCCATTGTCAGTGTTAAGGAAAGTAAGGATGAGTTTCTCAAGGCCTTCATGGATAGGTTTGAGACGGTGACTTTCAAAATTCCTAATTTGATCGAGAAAGTTGCCTACACCAGATGTTGACAGCTTTAAGGTCGAGTCTTTTTCTGGATAGTTTGCATAATAAGTCAACCTTTTCTATGAAGGAACGTCTTAGAATGACTGCAAAGTATATGCAAATGAAGGAGGTGATATAAGGCTCAAACAACACCCTATAGGCCTTGCTAATTAAGGACAAGTAGCTAAAAATGATTCCAAGCTTGGGCTCGTAAAAATGTAGGAAGATGGCGGGAGTTGGTGTTATATCCAAGTTCTCGCAAATGAACCAGAATGCTTGCAAGAGGGCCTAACTATTAGGGGAAGTTGTATCAGGGCTACATTAAGGATTGAT